AGGTTAATATGGGAGACAGGGTCAGACCCTGTGAATTAATCTTCACATTATTTAGTACCACAGGAATTTACTAAAGTAAAGTGGGAGAGCTACTGGTACAGTTGGCAGGAAAATACGACTATTAAAACATATGTCTCTGATGTTTTTCTTTGATACCTTTATGACGTTCACTCAAAATTATTTGAATCTTTTAAAAGATCGATCTTGAAGTCGGTAAGCCCATAAAAAACTTTGTCACCCCTTGCCTTTTTGACCTTAAAAAATTCCTGTATATTCTTTAGATGTTTTGAAACATGATGCCTATTGATTACAGCACCTGGCAGCCCTTGTTTAAAAAAACTCAAAAGGAGAAATATCTTTTGCTTTTTAGTCTCTGCTATTTTGTTTGATACACTTTGTCATTCAGTTGCAGTCAACCCATGTATCACCTTTTGCTCTTCTGATATTTATATTTTCAAAAGGTTTTTGAATTTTCATCTGTTCTGTCTGTTAACTAAATAGATATTCCAAAGAGCTGTCCCACATAATAAGCAAACATCAGATGACTTTGCTGAAAAAAAAACAGAAAATTGCACTTGCCGATAGGGTTTTAAAGTCATCCAGTAAAAAGTTATTGTAGTAATTGAATAGCAGCAGAAGCAGTCCAATTATATAGATAAAATCTAAATATAATGCAGCTGACACGTAACAGATCCTGCTTGCCTGCAGATGGTCCTGTCGGAAAAAGAAAATGAAAAATATAGATGTTGTCGGTCTTGACTTCCAAAACATTACCACCCATAATTTTGAGACTTTGATAGGTATACTAATTTCTTGGTTTTTCTTTTGGTTGCAAGCATTCTTAATATGAACCAAACCAAGTAAAAAAGATTACTAAACTATGTTTAATTTAATTGCTTAACATTCTAAACTAAATATTTTTTAGCTTAACTAAATATAAATAAAAAGATATGTACGGCCATGCATTACTGGGCACAGGGTCTATTCTACAAGCCTTAGAGAGCTTTGAGAGAAGACAGTGCCATCAACATTTTTTAATTTATGGTATTTGGTATGACTCAGCCAGGGATCAATCCCCCCCCTCCCCCCAGGGGTGACCACATGACCATTTTCTGCCATCTGGTCAAAAAACTAACACCAACCCTTTACATCCTCTTTTTGTGATTTATACAAGCTATAACTTAGAAACTGAGGTAATGCTTTTCTTTATGACTTTCTTTATGTTAACCCCTGCAACATTTTGACACATAATTGAAAATACATCAAATTCTGCTAATGGTCTTTGAAGAATGAGTAAAAATTCTCTTGGCTTAATTTTCAGATTATGTCTTGACTACTGCAAGGCTGTTTTAACCAATCAAAGTTTTTTCTCTGAGGGCCTGCAAGTTCCTTAAGATTAAAGAAGTTAATTTTCTCTTGGAAATTACAATAGCTCAGTTCATTTGATTTATAAAACTAGAGCAATTACTCCTTGATCAACATTCTTCCATATGCTACATATTTGTGAACATGTCTTCAACATAAAGGGGGAATGAAATACAGTATGCTTTTACCTGCAGGTAGGTTCAGGCATAAAGATTGACCAAAAACATTTCAAGTCTGTAGTCTGTTATCAGGCTATACTCAGTGCAAGTTGTCTGGGTAATTCAATTGACTTTTATGATCCCTTCCCTTGAAGGGAGGGGTGGAGGTAATAAAGGTCTGGAAATAAAACTGACAAAAAATCAATTGTTAATCAGTTGGTTTATTAATCTGGTCATTGCACATACTTGCATAATCTGGTCATAGTTTATTAGACTTTTTTTTTTTTGAAGTTTCTGAAATATATTGGAGAAGGTAAAATGAAGTTTTTAGCTGACATGATAACTCAGGGAGGCCAAAGCTGGACTGGGATTGACTTGATTTTATTCAAACTCATCCTAATTTGATATCAGTGGGAGAAAGGGGTGTATATATGTAGTTGGAAATAATGCTGAATAGCTGGCATCTTGCCAGTGAAATGAATCAACTTGCAGTCTGCAAAGATGGGTACAAGGCACTCTGAAGAGCATTGCAATGCTGCTCCAGTCTTTTCTTGTATCTCCTCAGAATCTATGTCCAGACAGACACAATCCAGATGACATCAGTATGTGGTCAGATTACACAATAAAAAGTTAATGGAGGGTTTAAAGACTCAGTTAGGTTTAAAAGCAAGTAAACATCTACATGTATACTACCACCTGGAAGTAACTGCGTTTGGAGTCTTGAGGGAAGGCTACAGCAACCTCACTTCCAATTAAGTTTAAAAGCAAGTAGACATCCACCACTGTGTAGAGCCAGTGTAGGCCTTAGGGAGCGTTCCCATAAGCCCGTCATACTATCAGGATCGATCTGACTCTGCAGGGATTCTCACTTAATTGCATTCTGTGTAACCAGCTTAAATGTCTGCCACGCCTACTGAAGCTGCTAGGGGGTAATTAATGATAACCAATTACCCCCTAGTTAGTCAAGGGGGCATGCCAAACAATTAAGCTTATTAGACTGAAAACACTTTAGCGAGAAGCTCTGAGTTAGGTCGATGCTGCCAGTAAATGGGTTTATGGGAACAAAAGTCTACCGCAATCTCTACCTGGGCAGGGACTGCTACCTGTAAACCAGTGGGGGATTAACTTGGGCGCCTGTTATAACATTTATTACAACTTGATTGAGTACAAATGCATGCATCACTGAAGAACGTCCCTTAACGTTTATTACCAGATTATTAGCCACAGCAATTTCAACACCAATTTAGTAACATGATGTAACCTATTACTCACCCATATAGTGCCATGTGTTGGAGCACTTACTTTCACTTAAAGGTACCACAACAAAGTGATCTCCAGTAGCAAGGGGGAAACGAGTTAAAATGCCAACTCTTAACCTCAATAAGTAACTTTAAAAGTGTTATATATTGTGTGCACTCTACTTGGAAGGGTGGGTCCAGCATTTTTTAATAAACTGATAATTAGTGTGAGTTAACCTTTATCAAAGGTAAGGATGCACTAAATTGAGGGAACGGAAGGGAGCTATGAGGGATTATGCATGTATGAAGTCGTTTTTGCCCAGGAAATGCTGTGCTTATAATCAGCCCCTAATCAACACCCAAAACTTTTCTTTAAATTTCACTGTAAAATTGCAGGGAAAACATTTTTCAAACTCTAGTAGACACATTAAAGCCATAAGGGCTTGTTTCAATGAGAGAACAGATTGTTCTAATGAGAGGAAAACACATTGTGAAGTGTGAAATGTACTTTAATGCTTAATTCCAAGAATTTGGACAATTTTATTGTTTATTTGATGATTTTCTTTCTCCAGAATTTGGGAAATATGTAGGACACATCCTGCTGTGCTTTCACCAAAACCTTGACTGTATTCATCTAGAAAAAAAAAATAAAACACAGATCCCACTCTTCCCACCCTCATGGAAAGAAATCAAGTCCCAGATTTGTATCTCTAAAAAGATAGTCTTAAATGTCAGATGATTTATGTTTGTGCATGGTACATGTAACGTAACTTCATACAGAGTTATAACAAAACACATCACAGGGCCTCAGTATAATATGAAAGTGCCCCACAATGTATTATACAAAATTATACCAGACAACTACTCAGGTATTCACAAGAAGGAATACTAATTAACTGTGTTTGGATGTAGAGTCCCCAACTTGTGTATTTTGATTGAAAATTATGACCAGATAAAGATAACAATTAACTCAGTACTGAGTGGAAATGTTCCTGCAAATCTCTGCCATTTCATCCAGGAAATGGTTGGGGTTTTTACATATTGTGCCACATTGACTAAAACTATTTGGGAAGTTATCACGCTGTCTTAAAATCAAATTATTACTAAGCAGAAGAGATCTTGCAGGCGTCTGTTAATCATATTTGAGCTGTATAAATCAGTCAAAAAAACACTATGTGCTGCATTTATGCTATCAGGTTCCCACCACAGCTCTTTGTGATTAGATATTTACCTACTTTGTAAAACTGTCACATTCTCTAAGATTTTTCTGTATTCTTCTTGTATCCCCTCTAAGGCATGCAGGGGTGGGCCCAGCTCCATCTTCAAATCAACTTTTGACGTTACATCAGTTAATCGTAGGAAAAAAAGCAGACAAAAACATGCTTTCCTCGCCTTTAGCACAGTGAGTGATCTTTATCTTGAAAACACATTTATGTAGCCTCATTTTCTTTTTCTTTCATGTATGCTGCAGAACATGCAATTTACGTATGGGGCTGGGCTTCTATGCTGTCTATAAGCTGTATGTTTGAGCTAACAAGAAAACATTAAAGTCAAAACTTGCCTTTCTCTCTTTTCATCATTTAGTGAGCCATCTTTAAATTCAAACACAATCCTTCAAAATTTTCAATCTTTTTATTTCTTTAAAATTGTCATTCAAACAACAAACCACATTTTTATTAATGACTGAGCTAAGAAAAAAAGAAGTAAAAAATTTACCCTCTTCTTCCACCGTCACCACAATGACTAATCTTTATCTTTAAACGCATCCACCAGTAAATACAGAAGCATTTAATTTTTCATTTGGATCGCTCACCTCCCTTCAATTATGAGGCCGGTCATGGGCTATAACTGTTTGATTGGAAGCTGCAATATGGGTGTGACCTTTCAGAGTGTATGTTCCTCATTGGTGGCAAATGCCCAAAGTTGACATTGCCTTAACACATGGTAGACTGCACAGACAGACAGACTAGGGATAGACCTCTACCTCACCACATTACAAGTAATTGCTGAGAGAGTTAAGCAGACTCCTGGTTTGAATTTGCCTATTGGAAGGGTGTCCAATCAATCAACAGGCCTATAGAAAAGGATACAGGGACTCTGGCACTTGATGGTGCTGGGAGGAGGATTTAAATGAAGATCTAACAAAAAAAACCCAGAAGCCCTGGTAGAAACATCAGCAGAATGGGTTACAAAAAACCTGTACTGGGAATTAAGATGCTTTTCAAGGTGGTAGTTTTAATGGCTGCCACCCTCTGTCTATTACCACCATGTAGGGGGTGTGGAAAATAGGACAAAAACCAGGGAAAGGACAGAGTACTGCTCACATAGGATTCTACTGGAAAAGGACAGGACTGGGATATGCACAGACACTAAGTTTTTACAGCATTTGTATCAGCTCCAGGCTCATTATAGCAGTTTAAAGCAGCAGCAAAATTTACAGAGGGAGATTGCTAGAGTTTTGAAATTAGAAAATTCAATACTACGTGAACGTGTGGACTGGCTGCAGAAAATATCAAAACTGGAAGAAAGAGTGGAGGAGTTAACCAGGGAAAAAATTCAGTGTGAAGAAGAAAATCTAAATCAGACCAAATCATTGCTAAAAGTTCGTGATGAACTCTACTCAGAAAAACATCACTGGGAGACAAGGTACGAGACCTCACAGATGAAATTTGAAGACGATAGGGCAATGTATACTAATCAGGTGTCTAGCTTGCAGGAGCAACTGCTGGAATCTAAAAACAAAAATGTCAATTTATCTGCTGAGGTGATGCAACTGGATTATCAGCTTATGGTGGCCAATGAAAAAATAGCCCATCTTGAATCAGAGACTTTTGCAAACATCGAGACTCTGCAACAGTGCAGGGAGAATTCCGCGCACTGCGACCAACAACTTGTGCAAGTTTGGGAGCAGTACAGGAATGAGAGCGAAGGGTGCAAGAGTCTCAAGATCAAAGCAGCCCAATTAGAATCACACTGTCAACTCAAATCAAGGTCGTTGTCTCAATTCCAGGCCATGGGTAAAAAATTTGAAGAAATGACCAATAACATTTTACAACCAAGTCTGTTGACTGATGTGAAAGAAGAATCCTCAAATGACAAGGACAATGACGACTTTGAACCCTACCTCCATAATGAAATACAAAAAGACGACAAGTACCCTTTTATAAATACCATCAACCAAATTCCTACAGATCTATCATATGAACTGTTTGCAGCAAAACAACTGGGGAACCTTCTCCAGTTCATGGCAAGCAATTATAATTTAACACAGCAAATACACAGCCGTGTCCAGAACCTGGAAAACACTGTGAGCAACACCAGAGACACTTTAGAGCTCATCCGCAGCAATCAAACCGATTTAGAGAATTTAATTTCCAGAGGGTTTACCAAGCTAGCTTATCATAACAGCACCTATAAGGTTATTGAGAGCATTTTGGAAGATAAATGGCTTGATTCCACAGCGCCCCTGCTGGTGGAACTAATTGGCAATCAGACCGGTCAGGTTAGAGAAAGCGTCCTAAACTTTACCAAATGGTTGCACTGTCTGTGGCCAAATAAACCAAAAGGTGAGTTACTGTCCAGTTAACACATCGTCCCTTTATTTCTATCACCTGGTCCTATTCATATTTAGTTTCATTTCCTGTGCTAGATATGGTGAAACAATAATCATGTGGATAAGCCTTTGAATGGTCTATTCAGGGCTAGAGAACTTATTCTAAACATTTCTATACCCCTGCACTGTCCCAGTCTAAATAAAAGGGATAAAAGGTAAGCTAGTGGTCAGTCTAAAATAGTTCTTCTCAGGCTATTTATTTATTTATTTATTTATTTATTTATTTATTTATTTATTTATTTATTATGTAATCTAAAGATAATCTTAATAATAACACAGTATCAAATTTGATTGATATCACAAATAATTCATTAAAATGCTAACATTAAATGTCCAGATCTATAGATAGTTGATAGAAATAATGTCTGACTTTAATAGACTCTTTTTGCACATTGACTGCATTTATTATAACTATCGGCTACCAAAGATCAAGAAACAAATCAATATCCCTCTTATTGCACTTATGAGAATACTTAAACCTCTCCAAAATGAGGACAGATGAATCTGATTATAGTGGATAGTTTGAATATTTTTCCTTTCCATTAATTTGATCAAGTTGTAGTAAATTTGGTGCGAGAAAAAACATGTCATATTCTGTCATGCACTCTGTTTTCAAATTACAGTAATACTAAATAAACCATCTTAATTTAAACAGCTGAATCTAAGCAAGTTTTTAGTAAAAAATTAACAGACTGGCCATTGTGAAATCCAAAATGACACCTGCAAATCAAGTTTATATAATTTACTGAATAAGCTTTTAATCCACAAATAAGATAACATGACAAAATTTATAAATGTAAAAAAAGATAAAGATAGTATCTTAAATGTTAGCAATGAGATCATGCATAATGTAAGGGTTTTCTATGTATTTAGTTTCATCTTTGCTTGTATTCAAGCACATGGATTAAGTTGGAGCAGGTAACTATTTTTGGTGGAGTAGAAAAGATGCTTCAAATTTTGTCTCACCTTCCACTACATTCAGAAACTACCAGTTCCTTCAACTCAAAATGAAATAAATACTATTATCTTTGTAAACTGAAGCAGTTTTCTAATATCAAATTGCTGGAAACCTTCTCAAGTCAAAAGCTCTGACACAAATATTTTGGTTAAATTGATGTCATTATAGTCTAATATGTACAAACTGTTTTCATCATTAAAATACTAGAATATAAAACTGGTTGCACTTAAAAAAATAGTGGTGTTGATGCAGCTGTTATTTTAGGTCCTAATCACTATTCATTCACCATTCAATACATTAAAAACACAAAATCTGGTTTTCTGTCACTAAGATAAGAAAAATGTTTTAAAACCATTTGGTATAACTTGTAAAGTTTCTACATATATCCTATAAAAGTTCCTAATTTCTTGGTGCAATATTAATTTACTTTCAAATGCCCTTCACAATTACGTTTCTGCACTTTACTTGCGACACAATTTTTGGCAATTTCAGTTGACTTAACCTTTTGTGGTGAACTCTGACATTTTTTTTCTTTATGAAATTCCAAAAATGTTTGCATAAAATTACCCTAACACAGGCAACCTGGTATAACAGAACATGTAACCATAGGGTGCATGTGTCCATTGCTGTTGGTTGAGTTTGTGTTGAATCATTGCACAGATCTTCCACCTAACGCAACAAAGAATACGGTCTTGCTAACATTATGACTCACGTGAAACCAGAATTCGTTAATGAAAGTGTTGTAATGAAATTAATTTTCAGTTTCATCAGTCATAGCTAACAACAAAAATTCAATGTACATCTGCGTATGTCAAAAATAAGAATTTACCAAATTTGCTGCTTTTCTCACAGTTCATTATTCAATATCCTAAGTGGTATAATATTTTTACATGCTTCAGTCTTACTTTACCCTTTCTGTACTCTGAATTTAATAAAAAGAACTGCATATCAACATTATATGGAATTTGCAGTTTACATTACTTTTTCATGTTAAAATAATTTTATACAAACAAATTGCACAGTGGTGTCTTATGGTAGTTTATAGTATGTATTTTTACCTAAATGAGCAGCCTAAAGACATTATCAAAATGGCAGACTGAAGCAATTTCACGTTAACTACATAATTTCATTTGGGCAACATTATTGTACTTTCAGACTGCTCCGAGATTTGTTTCATCAAACAGAGGCTTAATCCTGTCCAGACAATTTACCTTGGAGACAACCTTGACCCCATCACTGTGATATGCCAGGAGGGATGGACACTCATTCAACACAAGACTGACGAAGGTGGCGTAGATTTTGATCGCAATTGGGATGAGTACAAAACTGGCTTTGGCAATGTTAAGGAAGATGGAGACTTTTGGCTTGGCAATGACATTATTCATCAGTTGACAAAACACCAGGACTACAAAATCCATATTGATATGATATCGCATGACTTCACATGGTACTTTGCCGAATACAAGAACTTCTCTATTGGCACTGAGGAAGACAACTACAAACTTCGCGTGGGTAAATTCCACGGATCTTTACCTGATGCCCTGAACATAAACAACATGCAGTATGTTTCCAATGGTCAAGCCTTCACAACGAAAGATCACGATAATGATGGCTGGGCTGGAGGGAATAATGCTAATGCCTATGGAGGTGGCTGGTGGTATAACTACGGTACCAATGCACCGCTTAATGGATGGAGCATGTGGTACCAAGGAAAGAAAGACCCTATATACCTCAAGAGAGTGACCATGAAAATAAGACCAATGACCCAAGATGACCAGTTTTAGGAAATAATATATTTTCATCATAATGATATCAGTGCATAGTTAGGACATCATCTTTTTTCTAAGCTCCCTTATATTTTTTATCCATTCTTTTATAGACTGAAATTTTTTGATGATGGGTAAAATGTTTGTAAATGAAAGCTGGAACCCTTGATGGTTCTTAGGGAAGGTGACATTTTACATAAAATCTGCATCTCAGTTAGGCTTAAAAATCTAAAATATTGAACATCAATTTGGACACGAGGATGGGGAGATAAATAATTATCTTAAGATGTTAAAGTATAGAGTTTATCTCTTTTTTTCCACATAATTAGAAAAATATTAGGAATTAGAGCATCTTCTACATTTTGTGCAGTTTTCACAAATATTGGCAATTTTTTTATGTGTTGACAAATCAAAAAAAAATCTGTGAACAATTAATTTACACATCTTTATCTGTATCTATTTCTGCAACATTATTAAAGGGATACTAACTCTTCGTTTTGGCCAAAAAATGAATTTTCCCGGAGTAAACAACAATTTTCCCATACTTACCAATGGTTAATGAATCCATTTCTACATTCAAAGTTAGTCCCTGTTTTTTTTGTTTTTTTTTCTAAAAAGTTTGGTTTTTAGTTAAAATCTCTTAAGAGATTATAACAGAGTATAGCCATCAATGGAGGTCATGTGGTCTGAAGACAAGCTCAGATATCAGAATAATAGCTATAACTCCTGTTTTTGTCATAAAACAGAATATGTTATATTTCTATGAGTTGTTCAGAATGTTTTTATTGTGAAATATAGACCTCATATGAAGAGTTATTTTCCCTTTAGTAATAAAGTTGTATTGTACAGATCGGAAAAGCCATTTCACTGCCCTACAGATTGTATGTTTTATTCAAATATAAATATGTATCCAATTTAACATTGAACATTAATTCAATAGCATCCACCTATTTATAATTTACAATTATTGGTAGCTCACTTTTTTGCTTGTTTTAATTTTGCAAAATTTGAAAATTATAATCTGGAATATTTTCCTGAATAGCACCTCATCGAGGTATTAAGTGTTTAACGATCAGTTGATCTCAAGATTTTTCATAATCAAATAGCCTATTTACTCTAGAGAGAAAAGAAATCTACATGTGTATTTTATTGTTAATAAAGATTTTTAAAAGGTGTTAAAAAAAGAAATTTTATAATGAGAGTCCACAGAACCAGTTACGTGTTGTAAATATAACCATGGACATAATTATGTCCATAATTATGTCCATGATATAACATACATATAACATCAATTTTATAGATTTTAGTGTTGCCAGAAGGTGGAAACATTTTTTCATACTTTTGTTTCAGATATAACAAGATTTGAATGGTCGTATTTCATACAAGATTTAATTTCACAACCAGACTAAACAATTTAAGTACATTTCTGACATTCATTGCCTTATTGTGCTGTTGAACAGATCGTTTAAAATTTGTGCATTTCTTAAATTCTCAACTTTCTTTTCAAGTCCTCCCATTCCTCTCTTAAAATATGTTATAATACACATAAACAGTCGTCATGCATATACATCCAATTGATTTACCCTTTACATATACCAGGGCCGCAGATTGATTTTTCACTAGGCATTCATGGCATAATTTTCTTCTTTGGGACAAAAAAATGTACATAATCAAATTCAAATCCAATCAAAAGTTAAGCTAATGCTGACCTATGTAAATCAGTTTCAGTTCTATTGTAATAAATGGAATGTTGCTTCTGTTTTACCCTGTATATCACCAAAGACTTGGCTAATGTGTCAGACCAATACTTCACTAAAGTTGACAACTATGGATTCATCTTGAAATGTAGTTACTGTAGTTTGACCAATATATTCTTCAATACTGACATGGTACTCAGAAAATACTCATTTAACTCAGACACTAATGATATTTATATAATATTAATTACTTGAGAGGTTTCAAGGTAAAAATATCACACATGTGACGTCAAATATATCAAAGTATCACATAATAAGTATCACCTGTCTTATTTAAAAGTATGTTTGATTTCAACCTCTTATATTTCACAACTGGCAAATCAAAGTGGCTAATACTCATTGTGTCAACTTATAAATAACAAAGAAACTGACCTAAATTTGCTTGTTAATATTACAATCATTGCTGGAGTAATTATTGCAGTGCAAGATTCCATATTTTTCTTTGGATAATAAAAACTTTCTGGCAAGTACATCATCACACTTTATAGAGTCAAACAAGCCCAGTCAATGGTTTTTAGCTTTCCATTCTAGTCTAAATATATAAACAGACTCCCGTGTGGGTTCTGTCTAAATATATGATAGAGTGCCCTGGGGATCTAGGCTAAATACCATGCCATACAGTACCCTATGGAAGCTGTCAAAACATGTGATGTGTTGATCTAGGCTCCTGTCTTTAGTTTGATTATTCACAACTTCTTTCCTCTCAAGGCCACCATCCAAAGAGGCACCTTGAGGAACCTTGGCACTACAGCAGCAAGCCAAGTGTTCCCGTTGTAATTCAATAAGGTCTTGACAGAACGCATGCCCATTGGTTTTCTCCCTACAATAACAATAAATTGCTTAAAACCTATGATTCTTATACATTTTCAACTTGAACGTGATACTTCTTATTTTGGATTTGCAAAAATCAAAATGGCACACTATCCTCCATGAAACTGTGTTGACCATGGTTGGAGAAGAAGAGTGGGAAAAGAGATGAGCTTGGTTTATGTAGTGCAGAAGCCTGCGTGAAAACCACTCAGCATAAATTCATGGTAAAAGCTCTTGAACAATGAGAGGAGCTACGTGATGACCCAATTTTTATATACCTGGACTACCTGTAAGCAGGCCAATACAAATGCATTCAAATACCCTAAATGGTATTTTGCAGCACAATAATTATGGGGAAACTGACTTACTGAACTGTAAAGAAAAGATGTGTGTGTCTCAAAATTGTAAGGCTGCATTGTATGGAGATTTATCAGGATCTAAACATCTCAGACATTTATACAAGGAATATCCTGCGTTAAATTTTAGCTCGGTAGAAAATCTTTAGAGAGGCAGGTCTTTTCGTAATGCTAACATTGTGTTATATGGTTTTATTAGCATGTTTTAAGGCCATAATGAATCGGCCAACTTGAGTATAATTATGAATTTGTTTTTGCTATGCTGATTGTTTATACAGTGTATATTCAGTATATTCTGGGTTTGTAAAAATACTTTGTACTTTCTGTTCATATTGGAATAAATTGTCTATCTAGACAGAGAAGGAAAAGGGCAGACAAAATTGCTGAATGTAATGGGGAGAGCTCTTTTAAGATCCAAGTCCCTACACATGACTATCAGTGGTGCAGACAGCTGACACAATGTTTGATACAAGTGTTCCTTCAATTCTAGAGGACTGAGGGACTGATAGATGGACATTACTCGCAGTCAATGGAGTAAATAGATTTGATTTATTAATTTTAGGGCATCTGATTCAAAGCTGTCTTTTTAGATAGTTAAAACAGTTTCCCTCACACATTATGATTATTTTATTCTTGTAAAAGGACTGTACCTGAACACTTCATATGAATTATATCAAATGTTTTTTTTTTTTTTCAATTTATGAGAACACTGAGCTTTATACATAAAAAGTGCAGCTGAAAAAAACTAGTAATTAACAAATCTCTCAGCCAACTTACCATTAACATCTGTTAAATCATATTCATTAGCAAGATCTGATGTCATCAACACTTTCCCAGTCTTCTGCATGATATTTGGATCTGAAAAGCAACCCATATTTATTCAGATATTTAGTAGTAATTAATTAAGTTGTAAATTATACTTTGTTCAATAAGCTGCCCAGCTTTCTACATAATGCTTTTTTACTTGTTACTCTCTTATTTATCCATTTCTTTTTTTGAAAATTAAATACATGAACAGTAGAAATATTTGGTAAAATATTTGTCAAAGAAGTATTTGGCTACTTGTACTGCAAAAATGCACTACATGAGTGTATTGAGCAGTGTGTGTGTGTGTGTGTGTGTGTGTGTGTGTGTGTGTGTGTGTGTGTGTGTGTGTGTGTGTGTGTGTGTGTGTGTGTGTGTGTGTGTGTGTGTGTGTGTGTGTGTTTGTTTACCCATGTGTGTGAAGAGAATGTCGTGCAAATATTAATGTCATAAAAATAACAAGGAAACAGCCTTGAACACAAAGTTGCACAGGACAAATAAAAAACTGTTACAGAAAGTTACTTATGAAGGGCATGACTCACTTTTATAGCTTATATATTTCAGCCAAATAAATCAAAAAGATGGCACCTGAAATTCTCTATGTACAGTACCTGTTGCCAGCTTGGCAATGCACATCCCTGCAAACTGAGGCGTTTCCCCATTTTCAAAAATCTTCTTCACCTAGTACAAAAATACAGAATTCATGAAAGAAAACACAAATAAAAATTTCCAAGAAGGAGGAAGGGGGCTAATTACATATTAAGCACAAATGTACATTCAAATTAAAGCTAACCCCAGGTATCTTCATGCATATATTCTTTGCATTACAAAAATATAAATTACTATATCAAAAAACTTACAGTAAACGTGCAGTGCAACCTTAAATAGCATTATGTAATCATTAATCATTAAGTAACCATTTATGACATACAACTTCAGGTTTGACTCCAGGCAGTTTCACATCATTTCCTTTTTCTGAGGCCATCATTTTGGTAATATGTTCCGTCTGGACAGCACCAGGCCACAAGCTGACAAAGGCAACTTTATGTTTTCGCAGCTCAATCGCACAATCTGCTGCCATACGGTCACACTAAAATTTAACATGTATAACGTATAATATTGTACATTATAAGTGCCACATAAAATTGATCTGATTTTGAATTTGAGAACAATAAACATGAACTTATCCAAATATACATCACAGTTTTAAAGAGCTTTGTTTAAGCCAATTTCCTACTTCTTATCAAAAGTAAATATGTAACTCTTTTAAAAGGGTGTACATGCCTGTATGTATGGGGGCAACTGTATCACTGTGTTTTTGTGTTTATTTTGCGGATCACAAATATTTTGAGTTTAAATATGATAAGCCATAGACTTGTACAAATAAATAATTTTTTTTCTTGGAGACATCACGAAAAATCAACTCATAAAAATGCACAGAAAAATTGATAATAGATGCCCCTACTATCAAATTCTTGTTCTGATACCCTTCCAAAAGAAGAAATGTAGTCTCACCGCTTCCTTGCCAATGCCATAGGCCACATTGAAAAGATATGACAAGCCTCCAGCAGACGAAATATTCACAATAAGTCCTTCTTTTCTTGGCACCATGATTTGGCTGGCATATACTGAGCAGATGTAGTGATTTCTAAAATTTGAAAACATAAGTTTTCATCATAAAAATCCACATTCTTTAGACTTGAAAAACTAGTAAGCAAATTGGTTGCTTTGGAAAGTAAAATAGTCCTTTTTTCTACCTAAGTAGGACTTCATGTATTCAATCTTACATCATCATGTCAATATTTTAAAGAGTATACTGACCTAAGTCCAACATTGTTCACAGTGTCCCACATGGTTGTTGGCTGCTCCCAAAATGGCTTTCCCATAGCTTCTCCTATAGCCTTAAAATGTAATGGATAAATAAAGGATGAAAATATGTGAAATGCATAAGAAACATGAAGAACAGGCAACATAAAAGTTTTGAAAACTAGGTATTAAAATAATCATTTGAGTTGAAAAAAAAAATCAGAAGTTTTTCCTATATGTATATTTGTGAAGAAGACTACATGGACTGAAATAACCCTTCATAAAGAACAATAATTTTTGTTTTTTGGGGCATTTTTTTTACTCATTTTGAAATCCCCTAGTAATAAGTCTACAATACTTGAATATTTTCAGAGATATCTTGACTATTATGAACATGTATAATAGCCTTAGGACGCATCATGGACTGCTTGGGGATGTCACTGGAAGCAGGTTAAATCTTAAAGAGGCAGAGGAAGAAAGAGAATGACAATGTAATCTTAAAGAGGCAGAGGAAGAAAGAGAATGACAATGTTCAACCACTGGCGTAATAAGAAAGAAAACGACAGAACAGAAAGTTATGGTGTGATCAAACGAAGGCCTGAAAATCTTGATGAATGGTGTGGGAGATGCTAAACCTGCCTCATGGTAGACAATCAAGAAGAAGAAGAAGAATAGCCTTATAATATCTAAATCGCTAGTGCCTTGTATAGAGATTTGTCCATGCACTCCTGGCCATTTGTTGCCACCTGAATAATAGCTAGGACTCCTGTAAAAAAATTTCCGTACAAGATATGTGACATCTGCCCTACCCACTTACACCTCAGTGACTCCGTGGTGTAACTGTTACTTACATTTACTGCAGAATAAGCATTGTTGACCATGATGTCCAGTTTTCCCTTCTGCTCCTCCTTAACCCGGTCAAAGAGAGCTTTAATATCTTCATCTTTACTGTGATCACATTGTATTGGTATACACTGTCCACTGTTCTCTGATATCTGTAAAATGTTTTATAAATTTTAGAACAGTGCAAAGATAATAGGGTTTCTACAGTCAGGGGAAAAGTTGTGTAGTAATTTTGGATTGAGATTATTACAGAAATAAATGTTTTTCTGAAATTACTATTCCAACTGGACAAATGGAAATTTTTGGCATATGTACTGCATTCGTTCATTCAGTCTTTCATAACTTTATATGGTATCTACTAATCTTTCGTATATATACACATAGTTTTTATCTTTATACATGGTAAAATATGGTTTTCTGGGGCCAACTACTCAGGGTGGCCAAAAGACTGCAAAATTTAAGCCACAACTTGTTAGTACCTCTTATCTGTAATGGTACAGTTAGGAAAAAGCAATATATTCTTAACTCTGAAGACAAAAACTGTGAAGAATGCAATTAAACTTTATAGAAATGTTTTGACATCTACTTGAAACAAAATTTTCACCCAGCCAAACTGTGGTGTCATTATTGGTACACGCTTCCGTTCTTTCACTCAAATTTGTTGTCAACATACTGTCTGAAAATGAGGTTCTTATGCAGAAAGTTAAAATGATTCACCTCTTTAGCCACTTCTTCAAGTGAACATCCTGGTAGATCTGATCTTGGCTTCAATGTGCGGCCTACATTGGTTAGCATAAAAGTGTAAGAAAAAGTTAACTATGATTACGTTTAATAATAACATGTCATATAGATGAATACATGCATTTATGATGATTACAAGTATTATTTCAATCTTGCCACCAGTCATCAATAGTGACAAAGAGCGCATTCTCAACGAATTAAGCCAGGCTTTACAAAGCCGGTAACCTAAAGATGGCGGACGTACATGAAAGAAAAACCGCCTAATCTTTTAATAGTCTCTCCGCCTCTCACACACCTCCCCACGTGTCGTCCGTGCGGGGGTACAGTCATTAAATCTCGGCTCCATTGGCACGACACATGGGGAGGCGTGTGAGAGGCGGGGGAGGCTATTAAAAGAATAGGCGGGTTTCCCTTTCTATACGTCCCCCCCTTTTGTTTGTGACTTTTTAGATCCATGGNATCATTAAATCTTCTACATGGCGAACGGAGCCGAGATTTAATGACTGTACCCCGCAGGGACGACGTGTGGGGAGGCGTGTGAGAGGCGGAGAGACTATTAAAAGATTAGGCGGTTTTCCTTTCATGTACGTCCGCCATATTTAGTCCCAGGATTTGTAAAGCCTGGCTCAACTCGTTGTGAATGCGATCTAAGTTTTCACCTACGTAATCGAAACCCGTCTCCAACAACAGTGTAGTCAGAGTGAAAGTGGATGGTCACGTTGCCGGAGGAGGCTATCCTGGACACAGGAACTGTGCTGTTGCCACATACTTTTGAATCGATCATGAAATCATCAGCTACAATGTTTCCATCATAAAAGGCAAGCCAGTCATATTGACAGGGTGATGAAACCTCTATACTTCTTTCCACAACAACGACTCTGACCTAAATTGTGCAAACATAAAATATTTGGATACATTAGTTTCATGATAGAAATTTTGTCTTCGGAGACACCATTTGACGAAGAGTCATTCATCTTAAAGAGATAACAACTGTTAACAGGAGATTCAAAATTCCACAGTAAATACATTGTAAACAACACACAGAAATATAATTTTAACAACAAAACAGCGGTTATTGCAATTATTCTGAAATGTGCGCGTGCTATCAGACCACGTGTACCTTCATAGATGGCTACCCTCTTTAATTATCTCTTAAATACCATGATCAGACTCTTCATATTATCTTCGGCCTATGGGTTGGGGCCAATATAACCCGTAACAGATTCGATAAGGCTCAGGTTTTATCTAAAGGGGCCCGCACACGGTGAGCATTCGGCGCGCGCCACTTGCGCTGCGCCAGATGCTCGCGCTCCTCAGCTCCCCGCAAACGATGCGCTCTTTGCTCAGCAGAGATGCCTCCCGGCCCGTCCCTATCGGACGCACCGCGAACTGTGGGATCATGTGATTAAGGAAACATTACATATTTATTTTTTTTTCTGAAAGTAATGGCAAATGGTGACCATGTTAATCAATCAGACTTACTATAACTGTGTACATTTTTGTTTACTTCGCTGGAGGCTGCCTTTTTTCTTTGTTTCCGGCTACCGGCACATGCGCATTGGTGGCATGGCGTGAGCAATCGGCGCTTGCACCCCGCACACGCTGAGGCATTTGCCTCAAGAGACCAAAAAAATCAAACACGTGAAAAATTTTGCTCAGCCGCGCGAGAGGCAAAAATCTCACCAAAATAACCCTGCACACGATGAGAAAACGGCGCAGCGCAAGTGGCGTGCGCGAAATGCTCACCCCTTAATTTTATTCATTAATCTGTTTTAATTTTAACATAATATTAATAATAATAATAATAATTACTAGTATTATTATTATTATTATTATTATTATTATTATTATTATTATTATTATTAAAAGAACAGCTATGAGGGATTCAGAACAAGTTGATCTGCGAACTCACAGATCCGGAGATCAAATATGGCCTACCAACATAAAACGGAGCCGATTAAACCGCTGATGGCCACCCCGCTTCCGCACGCGCCATTTAAAGGATTAAATCGCGGCTTCGAGGTTTAATTGCTAGACCCCTGCAGGGACGGCGCTTGTGGAGGCGGGAAGACCATCAGCGGATTAGTCGGCCATATTTGATCCGCAAATCTGATCCCACTCAGAATAGGGGGCTAACTAGTCCAATGGTCAAATATGGCCAAACCACTTGAATACTTTCCCACGGGGAATCAATTCAGTGACTATTGGCGGATTAGACGGAAAGCTTTTTAGTGGGTCGCCATATTTGGCCCGTGGACTAGTTAGTCCACTGTTCCGAATGCAGCCTTAGAGGGCATTCAGAACAACAGACTAATGGATCCGGGGATCAAATATGGCGACCCACTGAAAAGCTTGCTGCTGGATTCCCGATTAGACACTGAATAATTTCCTGCGGAGATTATGCAACAAGCATTCGAGTGGGTCGGCCATATTTGATCCGCAGATCTGTTAGTCCGCTGTTCTGAATGCGTTCCTAGCCCTCAGATCAACTTGTTCTGAATGAGCGCTTTGATAAAAAGAGAAGAATGATCCAATTCTTACCCTATCATGCCCTACTACCTTCCAGTAACAATTCCAGTCATTCCAATACCTTGAAAACTCCAAATTTTCGTTTTCTCCATTTAGAATTATAGTTGGTGCCGCAATCAACGGGAAACAACCTTGACAAATATTAAAATGCAAACAAAAGGCAATTCAAATAACGCTAATATTGCACCTTTCTTTTACAATATACAACAAAAATGTAAATTGTTTTAAATGTTTTTGATTTACAAAGGTAGGCAACCTCTGTATCAGGTAAGCGGTTAATAAACCACAGAATTCATATTTTGATAATGAAAAGACACCAAATATACTTAAGCGAAAATAGACTTAATATCCCAAAGGTGCCCTGAGTGTAGGATAATAAAATGGATAACCTAGACGTCCTCAAACTCGTCTGAGCTTTCTATGGAGGTACCTACAAACTAGAATTCAAAATAATCCTAGCTCCAAATAAAACGTTCAACATATCAAACCTGAAAAATAGTGCTGGAGAGCAGACAAGGCCGTACCGTTCGCTTCAGGGCAGTTTGGTGAGCCAGTGCAGGTGGAGGTTTCTGTCAACGGCGAATTAGCGCAAGTGCCAGGGACCAAACAGTACCGCTCCCGTTGTTTTGTGCCTGTCCCACAGGAAACGGAGCATGAGCCCCACTGGCTCCATGGTGATAGTTGGCCTGGTTAGTGGTCATACAACACAGATATGTACTTGCAGTTTAATGCAAAAACCATATCATAAGTAAAAGTTTTTTATATGCCCCTTTTTGAGAACATTACATGATATTTTAACATCGATTTTTCTTATAGGTAGGCCTATTTTGAAAATACTTTGAACTTGTGTTTTAGATCTAGACACACATACAATTTTCCTAACAAATTTCACTTTACCGTTTATCACCAAGTTATTTCCTATCCAAAACTGCTGGGAAAATTACGATTTATATATTAGTTCTTCAATTCCCCAAGAGATGGAATCTATACTTTTTCTTTAAAAAATACATTTTTCTGAATGAAAAGAAAAAATGTCCGTAAACCTCACCTTGATTCTAGCCATCCCTGTATGGAAGCCACAGGTGTATATGGACTCCTGCCTTGATATCAAGAATAGCCATTTTAACACTCATTAATTCTAGTCATTACCTGTGCAGTCAGCGCCACATGCCTGTATCTGGAAGTTGCCTCCATTGCAGTCCGTCTCTCCACTCTCCGGCACAGGAGAGTTGCATCGCCGGGCCCGGGTTATCATGCCTGGGGAACATGGATTCGTGCAATCTGTCCAATCGGTCCACGGACTCCAGCCACTTACTGAAAGATTTAAAGGCGTATACAGTCCACCCTTTTAAGTGGATATTGCCCACAACTTCCCTTTTTGTGGAGGAAAACACATGCACGATCATTTTTTGGTGTACATTGGCTATTCACATGAAAAGTTAAATGCATTAAATCCGAAACTGACAGTTTTTTTATCACATGTTGTAGTCTCTAATAATATTTTAAAAGATTCTCTTCGTTGTGTGCTCTTACAGGCAGATCTGGTTAAGGGCAGACGTCGAGTTGCCAAGGAAGATTTCAGAATATCAGGCTCGTTAAAATATATTGATAGGACTGAATTTAATTAATTTGCATATCAGCTTCGATCCTTATACACGCAAACTAAGAACGTTTAGGTTAAATATGAGATCAATTAAGAACGGATGCTTGCAAAATGACCAAACATTTCTCAACATTATGCTCGTGGATCAAATAATATATAAGACTAATTCATCAAGACAAAGAGCTGAATAAACGCGTGCTTACGTACACACGCAACCTGCTCGCACCCCCTCGTCTGCAGCGTCCGGGCAATGTGGAATGCCATCGCATATGTTATCTGGATCGACGCACTGGCCATTTCTACACAGGAACTGCTGCGAAGTCGGAGGGCACGAAAATATACCTGTGAACATGGTGTCGGTACATTAAAATGACTGTAACTTTCAATTTGGGTTCTTCTGTTAAGGTATTTCAAATGAACACAGTTAGCGTTTGACCTTTATATAGCAAAAATAACAATTTTACTAACCAATTTCAGTTTACCGTTTATCACCAAGTTATTCCCTATACAAAACCGTTGGGAACATAACGATTTTTATACCCTCCACCACACCATTCTTAAATTCTCTAAAAGTTAACTTTTTACCAGACCGAGTGATATTCACAAGTCAATAACTAGAGATATTCAAAAACTAAAAACTTGCATTTCAAAACCAGATTTATGGAATCAAATGCTGTGAATAGTTTTGAATATGCTATATTGGTAATGACAGGAAAAGTGTTGAGATTTTCTGCCGTATAAAGGTCGAACGCCCATGTGGTGGATGTAATTAAATTAAAATCGTTTTATTGTATAAATAAAAGTTTCATACTGAGTAAGGATAGGTTACCAGGGGCGTAACCAGGCATACGCACGGATGCACTGTGCGTACAATTTTTTGAGCCAACCATGATATTATTCTCCATAAATTCAGTGTATTTTTCACGGAATATAATCGTACCTGAGAATTTTCAAAATCTGTGCGTACAATTTTAAATGGTATGGTAACGCCCCTGGTTACCTACATCTTGGACCTAAATATTTTTAAACATTCTCTTATTATGTCCATGCCTACATATTTACAGTATACATATAACAGGGGTTCGACAAAAATCTGGTGACAAAAAGTAAGAAGCTATTTTTTAACGCAAAAGTTAACCTTTTGAAATTTTGTGGTTCATTTTACTTTGATCCATCTTGAACGTACGTGCTTTAAATCCGCTTCTCACAATAGAACCGTCCGAATAGAATCGCATCAGTGTAGTGGTTCCTTTCTCCAAAAGGATAGGTTGTGGAATATTATTGCCGGTGCGTTTAGCTATTTGTTGATCAGATGTGGAGTTTCCAGCGTACAGGTACACAAAGTCATAACCCTGCTCCAAGTTGAACTCTTCAAAACTGAGCAACGTCTATACAGTAATATTCAAAAGTAAATGGCGTCTTCATAACAGATTGTTTTAATGTTGATAAAACAATTATTTTACATAACATTAATTTCTTCCTCCTCCTCTGAAGCTTTTCAATTTATTAAATTGACTTAGGACGAGTGCAGTGTGCATTTTTTCACAGACCTTCGTTTCACTGCTAGTTAGAGCTACCCTTGGAAGCCTGTATTGTTTAGTATGGCAAAATTATCATTTTACGTTTTTCTATCACGAATTTCGCTTAAATATTCTTACCTAGAGGTCATCCATTTTATCATCATTTTCACAAATCTACAAAATGCACGCTTGGGGGGAGGGGGGGGGGTAAATCCCTCTGTACGCTTGTCATAGGTCACCGTTTTTTTGTTTTTCGCCTTGTAATCTTGGAAGGAGGGAGGGTGGTCTAGAAAAAGTCTACTCTTTGTTGACTAATGAAAAATGATGATAAAAATGGACGACCCCTTACTTCTTCCTCTGCCAAAATAATCCAGAAGCAATTCAAGCCGTTGTTGTAGTTAACGCCTGGAAATGGCTCCAGTACGTAGATAGCCGTAAGTATAGCTGGGTTACCACTGGGTGGGCATGAAGTTTCTAAACGAGGAAATAAAATTGCAGTTTCAGTGTGTGTGTGTGTGTGTGTGTGTGTGTGTGACTTAAATCTACCATATCTGAAACACTTCAAAATGCCACGGATTAGAAGAAAACATTAAACATTTTATCAAATGTAGTGAAAATAAATTCACAGCCAGAATAATGTTGATACATTTCAGTCCATGTCGTAAATGACATCTTACATGACAATGCATTAACAGAAATTTCTGATTAATATGTAAATATCAAAATAAATATTGTGAATACATCTATATGTGTTATTGTTTGTTGTATTTTCCTTCTGCCAATTTATGTGGTTGTGAGTTTAGTGCATGCACAAATGTTGCCCAGTTAAGCTGCTTGCACGTTTGTCAATATTATCAAAACACTGAACGATCACACAATATTGAATGGTAATAGTGAATGACAATTGTGAATGGTAGTAAAACACAGGTTTATAAAACAAATGTACACCCAAACCCAATATAGAGGTGCAAATGAGGTTACAGATATGATCTTAAAACATTTAGTGCACAGATTACAAATTATGTTTGATTATTTTAGGGTCCCACAAGAAGAAGTTTGTGTCAAATTTTAACTGTTCTGGAACCATGAATGAAAGATAATTCATATCTAACCCCAAAAAGGAGCAAACGTTACTGACACAAATGCAAAACGTCCAGCTGTGGAAACGTTTTACTCACTTAATTTATCTCCTATAACGTTGTCAAAATTATGATAATCTTGTGTAGAGCAGTTAATTTTTTGAGCGACTTTAGATTGCTCCTCACTAAACATTATAAAAGGGGGAATACACCCTTCTGACAGTAAAAAAAGCATTAAATAAACCATTTTCCATTCGTGGTCCAAATGTTATATCAGAAATGTCAAACTATCATGGAATCAGTATATTTTTCAGGCAGGTTTTCTGTTGCACCAAGTACTTGGGCAAAATGAAACTTTCTGACAATTTTTCTGGGGAACATACGTTGCGTATTATGAGCCATGACGCAAAGCCTTTGAGTTACAGTTTAGATATTTATAAAATATCCTTACGCCATATATAATTTATCATGGCCGAATTACTATAAAATATTTCGGCAGGTGATATAAAAAACAAAATTATATGACCTTGAAGATACGTTACCATTTAGGTTCCTTACATAATGTATATACGGCAAAAATTAAATGTAGATGTAAAATTGAGATAGCCTTGGATTTTTGTTCTATACGCATATATGTTTTAAGAAGTTGAGTACAACTTCGAATTCATTCAGTTTGATTTTTTGATACTTCAGCATGTGAAATGCACCTCTATATTGGGTTCGGGTGGTAAATGACCGATCAGAGACCTGAATTTCTACAAAAGGTATGGTAATGTAGGACAGCGCATGTAGTTTCCTTTAAGAGAAATTTAACATCAATGTATGGAGATATGCTGACACAGATAGTGCATGCAATACAATGTCAGGACTTACCCTGGCACGACTGCATGGCGCATGCGCTGGTCTCAGTGTTGCTGCCACTGCACGTGTTTCCACCGGAAGTTGGCGGTGGCTTGTCGCATTGCCTTAAACGACTCCGGGTTCCTTCACCGCACGTAGCAGAACAGCTAGACCAAGAGCCCCAAGTACCCCATTCTCCGTGGACTAAATCATATAATA